CCTTATTTTTCAGGTTAGTTAACAACAAAAAATTGTTTCTTGTCATTATTCACACAAAAATAATTTTGTCATTCAATTAATCTAATATAATGAGTAATACAAAGATGCTTAGTCGCCTATTTATAAGGAAAAAATCAATAGGTAATGGCAAAAATAAGAAACTAGTAACGAAGAAGTTGACCATCTGTAGTCATACTTTTTGTGCTGTCAGTAAAACAATCCAGAGATACTAGATTGTAATCTCGCTCTTCCTTAAAGAGTCAGTTCAACTTTAGGATAAGCATAAATTAAAGTTTTCATAGTTGTAGATTGACTAAATAATTATAATTGCTTGAGAATTGAATTCATTCCCCTCTTATGCAGAGCACAAGAAGCGGCTTAGTTCATATATAGCAATTAGACAAACTTAGACAAAATATTAGCATATTCTACCTATTCCCTATAGGCTGATTTGGTTTCAACCATGGTTTTTACTATTTAATTGATTTCAAATTAAAGAATTAACATTAGATGTCTTTTTTGCCAAATATGTCTTGATCAGAATGAAATCGAAATTAAGCATTAACTAATAAAGACTTGCAAGCGTAAGATGTTACAAAATATAAAGATGCTGTTTACGTCACATGGAGCGAGCATGAATCGTCTTTATGTATTTCAAAGTACCAGATAGACAGAATTTGGAGAATAGACCTGACACACTTTAAAAGCTACAATACAGGGAATGATTAGAAGATGATAATTGTTAGCTCAGTTACTTGTATTTTCACTTGTCTTCTTTGATGGAAAGAATAATATTTGGGTAAAGTGTGATAATTTATTTATTCCGGATGGGTCGTTGGGTCGCAGGGCAGATGCATAATGCAAAAAAGGCCAGGCCTTTTTCCATATCATATTCTTTGATGGGATTGCCAATTAACTAATGTTATATTTTGTATTTTAATCGATTAGATTACTCAGTTTTCGTTTTTGATTAGATTTTTGGGAATATCAGTGGTTCATAGATACGAGATGTATTCACCCAATTTCGATAGGGTGATTAAGAATTGACTGCATAATTTTTCCACAATGATATGAATAGACCTTACAATTCAAGCCTAGATGAGAATGCATTTTGGAAACCAAGGCTAAGTTAACATAACTTGGAAATGCAAAATCTACTAATATCATTATGAGAAAATTCAATTCCCAGTTCTTCATCATCCCATATATATGATTTACTGGTAGTCTTTAAGATCTATTTACAAACCCAAACTGAAAACCCGTAACTTTCTACCTCGGGACTTTTCCAGGCTGCAAAACCTTATATTGGAAAAGCCAAAAAGTAAAGCGACAAGACATTCCTCAAAAGTACTCAAATCAGCATGATCTAGAGAAATAATAATGTTAACTTTAAGATTTACCTTTTAATATTCATGGACGAAGGGAATTATATTATTTGTTAGCTGGTTTATCAGTAAGTGGGCCGTAAAACAATAGCAATACTTAATGCTGCTGTTTTTAACAACTTTAAACATTCTTTACTGATAGAACTCTGGTGACAGTCAATTATTCTATCGTAGTTATGCATATTCCTGATAAATATGAACATTCCAGTAAACTAAAAAAGAATATCTTCCGTCAAAAAAATAAATTGATTGGGCATGGCTGATAATTCGTTACGGCATGAAGGCTTAACTAGTGAATGCATTGGTTCATTATCTCTTTCTGCAAAATAATGCATGAATCCTAGTGGGTTTTAATAATTATCTCTGCGGAAACTAAGCGATCATGAAAGGAAAATGTCTGCTTACACAAATGAGATAATAGCTGCAAGTTTACTTAGTTACTTTGCCATCTCCAGTGAGTTATGAGATAAGCTTTACCTGTCCGACGCCTTGTGAAAGCCTACGAAAGAGTGTTGCTTCTTCTCCTATCGGATTTCTGTAGCCTTTCGTTGACAAGAATTCCTCTGTTTCAGTCTCAGAGCCAAAACCATCACCTCTAAAGCTGGGCCTTCTGCTTACTGACCAACCTTGATTGAGTCGGTCTAGTGATCCCATGTTTGAATTCAGCTGTGAGGAGAGTATTGAGCTATGAAAACTACTTCCTGTGGTCATAGAGGATCCTAGGGCCTGCTCAAAGTAGCTAGTCCGGCCTGTCGGTCTGTATTCCCATGCATCAGAATGTCGTTTGATTGGTAATTCAGTCCGTCGACCACCAAACCGTCCTCCTGCAAGCGGTGATTCGAAGATTCTTATGGAAGTTGGTGAGCTGGCACGCCTCGTGCCTGCAAATCCAGGTTGTGAGTCCCAAGTTGGCCTGGCCGTTTGGCCAATCGCTCTCTTGACGGCTGTTTGGCGATCAAGAGCAGGCAAAATGAGAGATTCACCAGCCTTTGAGCCCACTTGGCCTGATCTTGTCAGCATCATCTGTAGAAGCAGAGGCGATTGTTCGGGTAAAACCTTCTCGATCTTATCCGAATCAGTGTCAAGGCAACTGCCTACAGAGGAAATCGAGAGACGTCTGTCGCAAGAGGAGAAGGCCAAAGGGACTGCTGGATCACAAGAATGGGATAATTTCGTTGCTATCTTGGGTTTTGTTGACTGGCTTAGGAAATTGTTTCTTTGCTGCAACCTATTCAGCTCTCTAGCTTCGAGCGTATTTAACGTCTCCTGATGAAAACGCGACATATTCTATAACACTGAAGCCTTGTCAAGAGCATAAAACCTGGGAGAATGAGTTGGAAAATCGGAGCATTTTGCAGCCGCCAGATTCTCGGGCATGAATAAGGAAGTACGAGAGCACATAAAGCTGTGAGCTGGTGGTTGAGCTTGACTGATAGAAGTCCTTTCTGTTAGAGTTTCTCAGAGAGTCAGTTACCAATTTATAGCCAAAATGATAAAGTAGGTACAACCATGTAGGAGGCTTCTTTTTGAATATGTAAGAGGCAGATGGCCGACTTTCATAAGGAATTAAGCCATGAGGTTGACAGCCGAAAGCAAAGCAGAACCTTGCGTCTAGAGTTGTATAGTCCTAGTCCCTCCTCGCCCTTGCTTTCTAGCTGCTCCAAACATAAAGCCCAGTGAGCATCTTCGTTCGTATGTGTCCCTATCACGTCTATCTCTCCTCCACTACTAGGGGTTTTTGACATTAAGGTCACTGGTAGGAGAGAAATATGTAACAGTGAGCTTTCTTCAGATTATGTTCGTTGCCAAATAAGCTGTCGTCACTTAGTCAGCATCATGGCACAACAAATTGAGGTTAACAGCACAGATGGAAGCAAACACAGAGATAATGAAATGTACAACAATTTCAGACTTAAAAAGCAAATAGC